TGACGAGCTTGCTGCCTAGTAAATAGATTCTAGCGAGGGAAAATGTTCATTGTTATGTTGATTCCTGTTATATCGCGGGAGAAGAATAGTAATGGCTATGCAGGAAACGACAGCAATACAACTTTCGTGCATAGCATTAGAGTTTTATACTGATAGCAACTTACGTATACTCTTGTGAATCTTTCCTCGCTTCGACGCAACATTAGACACATTGATTTGAATGGAAATTCCATGAACAATACACATAGCATAAACTTGTTACCAACCTAGATTCGTCACTGTCTTATAACTGAGGCGAAGAAATTTTCAGCAATATTATTCTTTATGATGGTTTTAAATGTTTGGAAAAGCAGAAAAATAAATTCGGCAGCGAGCCATCAAAATTATTAAAAATTAATCCTGCTGAATATCATTGGATTTAGGGTCAAAATTAATTTTAATTGCTATGCATGAATACGCTATCGTTGCTCTCAGAGAAACGTGTATTGATTAATATATATGTGTGTGTGTGTGATAATTTAAAGATTCGCAGTCGTGATACGTGTATAGAATTTAGAGCCCGACTGACTACAGAAGGTGAAACCAATCAAATTTATTGATCATGGTCGAAGTGGTAACAGATGGGACACACAGGCAGAGAGCGTAGTAGATGTCTTAAACTCACAGAAGAACCATAAAATCCTTGGATAATCACAAAATATCTTTATTATGTGACGATTACGCTGTTTAAACATCATATTGTGTAACACAGCGTATGTATGTGTGTGTATTTTAATTACGGCAAAGCACACTAGGGCTATCTGCCTAAGGGGAGGGATGCCTTTCGTGGAGGACTTTCTAAGGGAAACTGGCTCGTATACACGTTACACATGGGGAAAACCACGAAAACACCCATGCAGCCAGCCCGTTCGCGGGATTCGAACCTCGGACCGAACTACCAGTGTTCAGCGACTTTACCGCTCGGCCGCTGGTGGGCGTAACACAGCGTAATGGGGACAATTTGCTTCCCAAAAGCTTTAAATACGCACTCACATTTTTTAAACAATAGAGAAAGAAGGCAGAGCAAGAACCATGGTTTATTCAAACAACAGGCCAGGAAAGGTGAAATGTACTATCATGTTTATAAGCCGGAAAGTCTGTTTAATCCCGAGCAGAGATCCCTAGTCAGGCACTCATTTAATACCAAATTATCTGCAACGAATTAAAATTATCATCAGATATACGCACGCACACACACACACACACACATATATATAATGACGAAAAAGACGTAATAATATTGATGGCGTAGAACGTAGATGAATATTGAAGAGAAAACCTGGCAGCCGAATAAGATTAAATATTCATTTTTATTTCAGTTGACATCAATATATAAGATAAAAATATATAAATCAGCTTTGTAATTTAATTCAGCAATAGACTCTTAATTTCTCATTTTAAATTTGAGTATTTCCTCTCTGTACTCTAAAAATAGAAATTAGCTTTTCTAAACTGCATCATTTCTAGATCAATCTATGTTACATGGCTTGCGTAACGCTGATGACGTAGCTAATTCAAAACCTAAACTGAAAATTTCGAGAACTGAAACCTTCCTCTTAACCCCTTGAGGACCAGCGCTCGGAGAACGAAGCGCAGCCACGGGACCCCCCCCCTTCCCGAAATGGAGCTTTGCCACCGGTCTGCAGCACATTTTCAGCAGTTAAGCCTACTTTTACAAAAACAAAAACAAAATATATATATATATATAATCAGCATTTAAATATAATGACCTCAATTTTTGAAGTTACGTACTTAATATACTAATTCTTAATATGTGTTAATATAAGGAATATCACATTAATAGAAACAAATGAAACATGAGAAATAATAAAATGATAACCATACGCAGGAAAACAGATACTTCACATAAACCAAAGCAACCTAAACCAAAACCTTCTCTTGGTGAGCCTCCCATATTATAATATTGCGCACTTTTGCTTCTACCTTTGTTGCCGTTAGGACGCTGCCGCTCTGCTTTCTTCCTATCGCCAAAAATGTAAATATTCTGGAGATAGGCACGATTAGAGAACCGAATGAATTATGGCGACAATTGTCAGTTGAAACAAAAATGAATATTTAATCTTACTCTACTGCCAGGTTGTTTCTTCAGTATGGGTCTACGTTTTACACCATCAATTTCATCACGTATAAATTTTGCTAGTGTTTTAAATAATTTTTGTGTTTATTTTATAATGTTTCAGGATTGTTTAAACTTTAATCAACATTTTTTAACATTCAAATATGATTTGAGTTTTACATTCATTTTTTATTTGTCAGTTTTCTTGTTAAGAATTTCAGACTTCTTGTATTTAAACTTTTTGTAATTGCAATTTATTTTTACATAGTATTAAAAAAATTATACACGGAAACCACATCACATTTGCTTTCAAGCAATAGTACGAAGAATTTTCTTTTTTACCTTATATAATATATATATATATATAAATTCATTAAACAATTTGTCGTGCAAAGTTTCAATTGTCTGTTTAGGCGAAACGCGTGATGGAGTTAGCTTAGTTCGAAATTCATTTTAAAAATTTCCCTTGACGAGCCAAAATGAACTTCGAATTGGGCTAATTAACCATTTGTCGCTTCTTAATTTTTAATATTTATTTTTATTTTTTTATCTCAATTGATTAGTATTTTACTGTGTTTTAAATCTACTTTATTCGTTTAGCATATAGCTTACTCTTTTTGTTTTTACCTCGTTCAATTGTTTTTTTTTTTTTTTTACTGTGTTAAAAATTACTTAATTCGTTTAGCATATAGCTTACTTTTTATTAATTTTACTTGTAAATATTCAAATGTTGTATTTTTCTTCTCTTTTACACATTTCAGAGCAACTAAATATGATTATGTTGAAGTTTTCACGGAGCCACAGTTTTTGGTAACTTTTTAGCGTGCGTACTAAAATTTATCTTCTAATTTCCTTAATTTTGCAGCACAATGCGCAAAGTTTTGACCACATAGGTCCTTTTTCGTTTGTTCTTACAACTTAACTTTAAATTATACATATATAAATATATGTAAAATTTCAGAAACTTTTTTTTTTGTAAAATGTTCGATCACAATGCTGCATGGTTCTAACCACATAAATTTCCATTTCATACATTTTCATAATAATACACAATTTTATAGATTATAAAGGAATACACCCGTCATTGCCTCGTTTGCTATTAGGACAGCATTTCAAATGAAATGATTTATTTTAAAATTCTTTGCTCCAAGCAAAATAAAAAAAAACCCTAGCGTAGTTACTCATAGGCTTTAAAAACTGTTAGACATTTTATAAAATATGTCCTCAAAGAACAACGAGAGGGAGAGAAAAGCATTGAGACTTAGAGAATATAGAAAATCACGCTATTTCGGTTTGTTCCTTTAAATAAATAAAAAAAAATGGTATTGAATTCTCTTCATGCACATCATAATTTGTTTTTGAAACAGAGAAGTTGAATTATTTGGAAGTATGTTTCACTAAGTGATTAAATTACGGAATAAAAACTGTTATAAAATGTTTTTATTCGTTCTAAGCAGTCGCGTTTATTTCCTATAAATTTTCACTGAAAGTTTTGCCATAATGTACGTAAACCAGTTAACTAAAAGTGGATGCAAACACTGAAAAGTGTATGAAACATTTTACGGAATTTACGGAAACAAATCTAAAGAAAGATATTTTTGAATAAATTAAAGCGTAAGTTATGTAATTCTAACATACTGGCCTACTTTTTATGCTTTGTATAAGAAAAATATACTGGGCTCATAGGGTGATATTTTAATTCAAATTTGACGAAAATTTCAGCAGGATTATACATGTACCTTGGCGGAACTTCGTTGCAATAGATATGTTACCGTGAAAGACCGAAATTGGAGAATGTCGACTTTCACCGGAGAATATCAACATTCACCAAATACGCCGGTGAAAGACCGAATATTTCACTACATTCTTGTATATTCGGACCCTCACCGGTGTATGTCGACAATCACAGATATGCTTTGGTGAAAGTCGAAAAGAGAGGTCATAAAGTGCCATAATAGTTTAAGTTGATGCAATAAATAAGATTTGAATGACATAATTTAGTAAGTTTTTTATTACTGTTATTTTATTTTCTCATTTAGAACGTACTGTATAATTAAGTAAGTTTTTAACTTCTATTATTTTCCTTTCTCATTTTGAATGTATTGTGTGTTTTAGGTTCTCATGTTCTTAAGTTCTTATTTCAAGTTTCAAGTGCGTTTATTCGCGACTGAATTACGGAGAAGAAAATGTAATATTGTTCACCATTAGTACATGGTGAATGTCGACATTGACCGATGTAAGTCAGAAATAAGAGTATTTGGAAAATATTTCGGACATACACCAAGAGACTATGTGAATGTTGACATTCACCGGGGAAAGTCGACATTCTCCAGATTTCGGTGTTTCACCGTAACATATACACATATCAGATTAGCTCCAAAAAATTAAACTATAGCTGAAAAATGTCTATAGCAAACAACAAATTGAGATTTTACTCGCTAATACCTAATCAAGAATATAGGTTGATTGTTCCTGTGAATATGTTTTCCTTGGAAAAATTTTCATGTTTTCAGTTTAAAAGCTGTTTTGTTTTCTAACTCCTTATTTTGCATTAGGAGAACAAGCACCGAAATCCCAAATTCCCCAAAACTGCCGTGAGAATGAGGTTATTTTCTTGATTGAAATACCAAAGTTCCTGTTGTATTTAATATCCGGAATCTTTTTCTTTTTAAATACTACTTTAATTTCTTGGACATATCTTAAGATGCAAATATATATACTTATTTAAAAATGTTGCAAAATTTATTCTAGATCGCATATATTCGGCCTCGCCATTTGGAGGGTTAAAAGTACAATGCTGAAAAAAATCAAAGATAATATATTCCGCATATATTTTCACATAAATGTTAAATATACTGAACAAAATTTAAAAGACAAATTTAAATAAATTATTTTATTTTAATGGTAAGAGTAATAAAATTAAATACATTCATAAATTATAGGACGAATATGTATATATAAATAACATTAAATATTTAAAGACATTCACTTTTTAAAAGATATTCAAAGGTATTTCGCAGAATCAATCTGAATTTTCAAGTATAGCTTTCGTTTCATGAAGGGAAATACATCATGGCACTATCTGTTTGTGTAAAAGAAATGCAAGTAAATAAATTAAAGTTATTCCATTTCTGCTTCTTTAATAGCTTTCAAAATAAGCTCTGTCAAGTCATTTATATCTTTTAGATTTTGCAAATGCTCAAGCCAGTCTCTTGGTTGCCTTTTAAGATGGGCTGGTCCCAGGTTTTGAAAGTAATTTTGATTTTGATTTGGCTGACCTAAAGGTCTTCTTACAGGAAGGATTGTTTGAGCAAAATTATTCAGAAATCGACTCATGTTGCTAAAAAATGTTAAGAAGCCATTAAATAACAACAGAGGAGCTAAGACAACACTAATACCAGCTCCAACAGGTGTAAGTTGTTTCAGAAGTGGCTGCATCAGTGTAGATAGGGGCGATGATGAACTTTCTTGAGATGAAGAGCTTGATGTCTTCTGAGGCCGCGAGGAGCTGTGTGACTGCACGGAATGCTGTGACATAATGTGATGCATCGATGAGGGATGTGAAGAATGTTGTTGGTAAATGTGCTCCATTGAATTAGATCCTGAATGAGATTGGTGATTTGTGTCTGATGAAGTTTGATATGGCTTTTTCGTAGTCGAACTTGCTTCCACTGTTGTCTTTCTCGTATTAGTATGAGGCGCTTGAGCTATTGCTAAAGCATGTAAACGATAAATATCATCCATTGAAGGTGAGTGCTCTTTTTTCTTTTCCGTAGACGAATGAGAATGTGATGTGTAACTACTTGAAGAATATGAAGACATGCCATGTGAAGCCATACCATGGGTTTGATAAATTTTATTCATAATATCGATGGGTGACAGGGTAGTTGTAGATGCTGCTGCTTTGTTGTTCTGTTTCTTTTTTAGAGATGAGGAAGATCCTCCGTAGTGCAGTTTCATAACTTGTTCAAGAGCTGCTTCTGCTGATGCAGGAGTAGTCGTTGTTGTTGTCGTCGTCGTAGTAGTGGTTTTCTTTGCCGAACTATTTCCTTTGGGACGAGATGTAGCTCGAGAAGCTTGATTTAATGGTTGTAGAGCGAGTCACACCTTTCGTCGACATTGTTGAAGTTGTCGATTTTGCGGGAGATTTGGTTGTTTTAGCTGTTCCAGGTTTGGCAGCAGTTGCATGGGGAACATTTTTTAGGACTATGCTTATTAGCAATAAGCTATACACCAAGTTCTTTAAACGTAATCTGCAAAGAAGCAAAACTCAAAATTATGGTCTGAAATCGTCTGGGCTTAAATCAATAATATTAAATACATGATTAATTCTTATTGGTTGATCACTCTGATTAATTCTTATTAAAAGATAAACCTAATAAAAGTTTTTATGATAAATAACTTAATATTATTTATGAAATTCACTTTTTTAGTGTCATACGTAAAATAGGAAGTTAGCAGAAATTCACTATTTTAACTGCATGTATTTATCATATTTAAAACGTCTTGCACTGCGAAAGAAATTTTTTTTTGAAAAGCAATATATCACAGAAATTTATACATGTAATCCTTAAGGAACAAATGAAAGCAGTTAAACCATTTTAAATTTGTGTTTGTAGTTGCTGCAAAAGAAAGACAAAAATAGTTGTACAAAAGTAAAACAGCTGAGGAAACGAGAAAATAAATGTTAAATGAAATGGAATTTTGAATATAAAAAATCTTCCTCTCAGCTAAAAGTCATTGCATATGTATGTGTGTGTGTGAGTATTATCAATGTTTACTTCTTCCCAAGAAATAAGCAGTGGCGATTTTGTGAACAGAATAACAGTTGTCGCAAGATAAAACTCGTAATAAAAATATGAGCTATTATTTTTTGACATATATCATTTGTGTGATTTAACCGGAACAAGCCCACAAATTTTATCGTGGTAAGGAGTACAAAATTGCGCCTGTCGTTGGCATGAGCTTTGAGCACTATACAGATGATAGCATGACCAGTTCCGCTCTAATTAGGAAGGACAGCACCCAGGGGGGCGATTCTTAGAGTCTCCCACCCCTCTTCCCTTACCATAAAACTACTCGAAAGAACTTTCAGCTCAAATTGCATTTTGAGTGCTCCCACGCCTTACAGACACTAAGCATTTACAAATAAATACCCATGCTTTGTCCAAGCCCGGTCCCATCGGAAGAGCAGTCCACAACACAGATTGGGTGGCAGTTTAACAATAATAAAATACATAAATGAGCATTATTGTATCGAAATGTTTCATTCAAGCAAAATTTCGGGGAATAGTGAGAGAGAATTATAAAATTTAATACGCAAATAGGAATTCTAAAAACAGCATTTATTGCAAATAATGCAAACTTTTGCAACATAATTTTAACTTGGTTAAATTATTATAGCAAAATTGTTTTCCACACGGATAATCATGTAATTTTTGTCTCCTGAGAACTGAGTATGGCTAATTAAGCGATTAAGTTTTCTCAGTTCAGAACTTAAATCATTGATAAAAGGTGACAATTAAATAAAAAATGCATTTACTGCTCCCCAAGAATGCACTTCATTACCAGTGAAATGAAAATTGCCAGAAAATCTTCACAGACTCTAACGTTCTCTCTGAATTATTAGCAAATCTTAGAGGTCTAACATTAAATTCAGAAAATGGGAGCAGTGTAAGCAGATTTTTTAAAGCCATAGCAGAATTATTCACATATAACAAATTTTTAACATTTGGAACTTTAACTTGTTTAAAAATCATTATTTGCTGGAATGAAAATTTTCACTTATAGTTAAGGTACAATCATAAATTAATAATCAAATTTTGTATTTCATAAATGAATTGCATGAAAGGCATTATTTATTCGTTCATTTGTAAGAGGTGGAAGGTTTGACAGCCTTAAACGAAATTCTTCTGTTTCCTTTCAGTTCAAATCGCGATTTTTTTAACATATGATTATTAAAAATTTGCAGTGAATTAATGCATTATAATAAGCTTCTTTAAAATATCATATAACTTTAAAATGTCAAAATAGACCAAAAATATAACACATTTAAAATCGCAATACCTTTATAACCAATTTATTTATGGTCGGGAAATTTTGCATACTTATTTTGATATCCTTGATAGTGCATTTGCTGTTCTTTATGTTCCGTATATTAAGGTATTTAAATAAAATAATCATAAAATACGGATAAATAAATCACTATTTTTAGCTGATTTCTTTTTCCAAATCAGAAAAAGGATGTCTAATCTGTTTTAAAATAACAGACTATGTTTTCTAGGAAAAAAGTATTTTTGAAAAATTATTAAAGACCCCCAAATTGATTATTTTTATAACATAAGATTAAATACAATTTCTACAGTTTTTTATGCGAGAAGTATAGCAGTCAGTCACTTTATATTCATGAAAATTTTATGCAATTAGTCAAAATTTTTGAAACATAACCTACGGTTTCATAAAAATAATTCCCACATACGAGGAGATTATTGTTATAAAAAATTAAAATTCGAAGTTTTAATTACCTTCAAATCCTGTAATTGCACATTTTTTTCCTAAAATTAATAAAGAAATATGAAAATATATTCGTAACTTTTGTAAGCATGCACAATTATACATTTAAACGGTATTGCATATAATCATTACAAATTTAATTGAGGCAATGAATAGCGGTGAGTCGAAAATGTCACACAATTTCAAATTTAATTAGAGTTCTTACGTTAGAAGAACAATAACTTCGCATTTTATACAGATATAATATTTATACAATTAGAGAAATTTTCCTGAAATTTTAATTGGTCAGTTCAGAGAAATGATTCCTGCAAGCATTAAAATCTTATTTTTATGAAATATTACTGAAAAGGGAAATTAATTCAGAGTTATATGCAGAATCATAGTTTGTATAGTTCAGGGTTCTTCTCTGATAAAAAATGAAACTAAAATATTATGGCACAATACTTTCTAAATTTACTACTTTCTAAACTTACTCCTAAATTTGGAGGAAAATTTCAAGGTATTTCTTTGCTGCATTATCATACTGCTGTCCATTCCGACCATTCATAAAAATCAGCTTTATTAATAAAAAAGTTGTTACATTAGTAAACATTTTTATACATTAGTAAAATAAAAATGCAAATAAAATCGAGCGTATTTCTTTTTTTTTTTTCGTAAGAGAAATTCTAACCGCAGCAGAGAATGTTTAATATGAAATTCATGTCATGCCATCTCATTCAGAAGCAAATATAGTTTATTTGTATATTATTCAAAAGCCAAGATTAAGTGGGAATGAAACAGTGGAACTTTGTTCGTGCATCTCCTGCTAAAAACAATAATCTCGCTTTTATATAAGTTTCTAATTATTATAAAGTAAGAACGTTTCTTTTTTTAATAATGAACCCTTAGACCTTATCAAATAGAGCAAACACAAAATATAAAGGTCAGGTTAGATTATTTGAAAATGGCAAAGCACAGAAAGGCTATCTGCTTAAGAGAAGATATGCCTTCATGGAGTACGTTTTAGGGGAACTTGGCTTGCATCCACGCTACACATGAAGGAAATCACGAAAGATAAACATGCAGCCAGCCTGCTTACTCTATGTTGCCTTATCACTGAATAGTAGTACGACCTGGGTTCGATCCTAGGTCGAACTTTCTATTACTGAGCGGTCTTAACCACTCGGCCGCTGATGAGATTAAGAGGTAAAGGTCTCATATCGAGGAAATGTTTATTGAAGGAGTTAAAGCATCAAGTATCAGGTTAATATTCATAAATTTGCATAAATCTAACCTAACCTTTGCACTATTTGATGGAGTCAAAAGTTTCATTAAAGAAAGGAGAAACATTCTTTCTTTATTATATAATTAGAAACTTATATAAAAGTTAGATTACTGATTTTAACAGGAGATGCACGAACAAAGTTAAGGTTCGACTGTTTCATCATCACTTTGCTGTTTTTTCACCTTATACACAAATAAATTCTAGTCTTTTTTGAATGAGATGGCACGGCATGAATTTCATATTAAACATTCTCTGCTGTGAATGAAATTTCTTTTTGAAAAAAAAAAAAAAAAAAGAATACCCTCGATTTTATTGAATTTTTATTTCACTAAAGTAAAAAATGAGTCCTTACACTTCATGGGAGTATTAAACACCATTAACTGCCCTTAATAACATTACAATGTTTTAAAATATTCCTAACCTAAGTCCAGTTCCAACAAGGTTATCGGAAACTAATAATAAGTATAATTTAGGTACAAGCAAGTCGGAGCAAAACTCTTAAAAAGCCACAGATGTATTTTGAGATATAATATGACATTCTTGGAAAAACATTCTGAAAATAAAACTTATTGGTATTAGAGAACTAATCAAAATTGAAATTACATTTAAAACATGTTCTGATAGGCAAGGATTTCACTTTTTTTTTGTGAAATTGAAGTATATGAAATTCGATGCAACGAAGAGGGAAATTAAAAATAAAATTCAGCTAGATATTTCTTAGCAGTCTAATCTCCTTTAACTTCTTCTTTATTCAATCAGAAAATAAACGAAAAATTGCTTTAAAAGTCTTGAAAACGAAATGTAGTATTTCAACCTAAAACAAAAGGAAACCTTTAACATTTCTTCAGAGTTGAGAGGAAAGTTTACGACGAAGAAAAACGCCGAAGATTTAAATAAATTCCTGACTAGATTTATTAAATCATCTGCTGTAAATAATTTGAGGTGATAGGAAAATTAAAACGCTCAAGGTAATAAGACGTTTGCCTTTGAAATATCATTCACAGAATTATTTTGAAGCTTTTGTTAGGGAACAAAAATACACTCCTGCTAAACAAAGGCAACACGGAATAAAACAGAAACTATTTGTAGATATCCGTGAAATTTATCCAACCGGTTGGTGTGGCATTACTAGACTGCATACCAAACAATAAAGATAATACAAAAACACATGTATTAAGACCATCACGATAGATCAAATGGGTCGGAAGATTGCGCAATGGAAAAATCATGCTAATAACGGGCATGATACCCTCCAGCTGAAATGCATGCTTGACAACGGCGAAGCAAGCTGGCAAAAGAGTCATTGATCGCTTGTTGGGGCAGTAGCGCCCATTCCTGTAGCAATGCATGTCGGAGCTCCTGGAGGCTGCCTTGTGGTACACTGCAACCTGCTATCCGTCATTCCAACATGTCTCACACATGCTTTATGGGATTCAGGTCCAGTAATCTAGGAGGCTACTGCGGATGTGAAATGGT